GGGAGGGAGGATCTAATGGAAGAGCGTTAATTAATGTCGTTATTTAATGGAATTTGATTCGCGCGTGACCCAGTTTGAGATCAAAACACGTTGTCTGCCCTCGAAGAAATTGGGCAACTCCCTTTTGTTCGTGCATCTCCTCTCCTCGTACACCAAGTCGCCCGCATTCCTCCGTTAGGTACTACGTACCGGGGGAAAAAGCAGCCGGAGAGGCCTCCTCCTCTCGAGGGGGAGAGAAGGGGGAAAAAAAGAAAAAGAAGAAGAAAAAGCAAGAAGAGGTGAATTTACAGGCGAGCGTGGCCGTAATGTAGTCAAGCCTGCCAGTTCAAAGCGAGCTCGCGTACGAAGACGCGATTCGATTCACGCTTTGAAGCGTGTGCAAAGAGATGCAAGGGTACGATGTCGAGTAGCGTTTGCAATTAGTCTCTCTCGTCTCGTCGCTCTATTTCCATTACAGGGGAAAGATCGAAAATCGAGTGGAAGATCTTTGGAAAAATATCGGAGAAGAATTTTAACGAACGAAATACCATCGTTTCGTTATTAAAGTCCTCGAGTTTTCGGAAATAATACGAAATAATACGAATAATAATAATATATTCGAAAGGTTTCGCATGTACAAATTTATTTCGAAAGAAATTTTCGAATCTCCAACTTCAGCCTTCCGATATTCTATTACTCTCGTCGGAACAAGTCTGGAAGAAGACTATTGGTAGGCGCGTGAAACGCAATTTTCGAGCCGCGCGTTTTAAAGACGCGTATACGTTGGACGGAATCGTGTGTCTCCCTCTCCTCTACATATTGATGACGCATCTCTCCTCTGTGTACACACAGAAGCCGGCTCGAATAAGCGCGCATACGTACGTACAAGCGTTGTCGGGACACGCGTGTCCACACGAGGCTCGCGAGGGTGATATCGAAATACTATCGCTTCCCACGCGAGGAGGAGCCTCGATTCCGTCTGGCCGGCCGGCTCGTTCTGTGTTCTTTAACGTGCGTGTGTAAAACCCTCCTCCTTATTGGGAAACTTTAATGGCTAGACCACGGTTTATACGCCGAGCATACTTTATACCTTCGACCATATTTGTCCTACGATTCATATCGTGACAGGGAAGACGGATTCGGTAACGAGCCCCCCTTCCCCTCGAGCCTCTCCCAACAATTCTCCAACAATAATATTCGATACAACTTTTCCCGCGACTTGACACTCCCTCCTCGCTTTCTAATTTCCTATGATTAATAATTAACCGAGGAATGTAGTTTTCTTTAACGACAATTCAATAATAGATTTCGATATCGTACGTGAAATCGTATTGTTGGAAAACGGTGTTATAGAGAGAATTTTTTTCCCGTGAATCTCTCTTTTTTCTTTTTTACGATTGAAAAATCGTCGGGAGCAATTAAGAATGTGTTACGTGATTCCAACCAGGTTTAAGGTACGTACAATTTTAACTCAAAATTTGTCAACTCTTCGATCAAATATCCTAATATTTTTTTTTTTTTCTTTTTTTTTAGTTTTCGAGATGGCTCTGGAAGATTTTGTAAATACGAGGCGAGCCAAACGAAAGGGGAGGGGGGGTTCTATCTTCTCTCCCGATTCGCGATAAAATTGAACGTTTTATCAACTGGAGGCGAAAGGCGAGCGAGGGAGAGCGTTTTCGCGAGAGAGCGTGTCCCCGCCTCGGAGGAGGCGTTATTACATCGTAGAAATACCTTGGCGGACCGCGTTCGTTCGCCACGTAATAACTGTCATAGGCGTTCGCACCACGGTCGGGGATACACGGTCGTGGCATGGGCCAGAATCGTCGTGGTTTACCAGATCGTAACCAGATCTTCGAGTTTCGAGGTTTACGGCCTCGCGGACCGGGTACACTCGACGGAGATGGTGGGGGCGTCGCCGAGTTTTTTAATCGTGAGCGAAATATCAACGAACGAAATTCGTGACAATTCTTTTCTTTTTCTTTTCTCTCTCTCTCTCTCGCCGAGGAAAAGAGAGGAAAGAGAAGAGAATTCGAAGAATTCCGCAATTTTGCGGAAAGATTATGCGGATTGGTACGCGTTTGATTACGCGACTCCTCTTACTATCTCGTTTCACGCGTTTTTTCCTGCTGTCTCGTTGATTTAAAAGAAGAAGTCGCGAAACGGGGAGCAGACAGAGGAAAAAAAAGGAACGTCCCAGCGAAATAAATTAATTAATCGTTCTGCTGTCGCTTTCGTTTAAACGTAATTCGTTCCAATTTAACCATGGTCTATCGTGGTCCAAAATAAATTCAAGAGAGCGAGAAAGAGAAAGAGAGTTAGAAACTAAAATTATTAAAAAGATATATATATATAAAGTCTCGAATGTGCTTGGAGTTCCTTTGTAAAACGGATATAGGATGAACGATTTCGTGGTGTCGCGAAGCGAAAGTTGTGCCGTGTGCGGGCGTTTCTTGCGTTCTTTCTTGTTGATTGTGATCGAGCGAAAGGGAGAAGAAAGAGAGTCGAAACCATCCCGCGAAATGCATAATTCATTGGGTGATGGTGGTGGTGGTGGTGGTGGTGGCTTTACGGCACACCCCAATGCCCCGGTGATGTAAACAGTCGTAAATTAATGCAATTGGCGCGCGTTTATTCACCAACGTGTGCGGCGGGAAAAAAGAGAGAAGGAGAAAAAGTCCACGATTTTATCACCGCGAATTTTCTCGCGTAAAATTCGAAGAGTAATTCTTCTTTTCGACGCGCGGAAACGATCCTCCTCCGCGGCTTCCGGCCGAGAATCGAAGTTCGTTGGGCGAACAATTTTTACGAATGCTGATTCGTCGAATTTTCAAAGATCTGAAATCTATCGAATCTTTTTTTCGAGGGATTCGATTTAGAAGTATTTGCACCAAGGCCAAGCTCGAAAGCGTTTCGCGCTCAAAGCAAAGTCAATTGCATCGGGCATTAAAGGATCGCGTGTGTCATTCGAGATCCGGCTATCAATGGGGTTGCCTGTTTTGCATCGCAAAGGACTGCTCGTTCTATTGTTCGCCTCTCCCGATAATTCTGCTCTCCACCGGAGAGCAGAAGGAAATAAATATTCGATCATCGAAGGGGACACGTATACCCATCCACTTTTGACTTAC